TATATATTGCTTATGATTTGTTTTCTGTTTTTAATTTTCTAAATACTTGCAATTTACTATTATATAGCTTTTAAAAAAAATTAAAAATAATTATAGTGCTGCTCTCCAAAATATTAGGGCTGCAATTTGGAGTGTGTTTGGGGTTAAGAGGTTGGTCCAGTTATGAAGCAACATGGCTGCAGCTAATATCATAAAATAAAAAGAAAGCCAGAAAGTAAATGCTTGTTACAGTGCTTTGTTTAAGCAAAACAAAGATAGTATCTTCTGGGTTGCTGTTATAGTGAAAACAGCATTTAGTACAATGACTATTTCAACTATAACAAGTGAATACTGTGTATTTATTCTTGCATTTGTGACATTCTACTTAATTTTTGCTCACAAAACATTTTATACAAGAAATTACAGATGAGATATCAAATTAACCAATATTTGATAAGTAATTGTATATTTTGTTTTTATAGATAACAATATTATTGTTTAATATATTTAATTAGAGCAATTTTGAAAGCAGTGGTAGTCCTTCCCATGAATTGGCCGATAACATATTAAATAACAAAAATATGTATAATGAACTATCAAGAAAAGCATCGCCTCAAAATTCTAAACTCAAATATGAATCTTCTGTTTAACAAAGTCTATCAATATCTCAAGAAGAAGTTGATGAATTGTTTGGATATACTCTATAGTATTATTTTTATATAATATATATTTTTTAAATATTGTTTTTTTTTTTTCTTTGTATTTTTTTCTTGCATTATATTTTTTTCTTACATTATATTTTTTTTCTTATATTGTATTTTTTTTTCTTTTATTGTTTAATAAATTTGTGTTATATATCGAATAATTACATATCAAAAACATTTTTTAAATAAATTCAATTATTGCTTCAAATATTTTAAAGGCTAGTATTAGTGTGACTTTTGTTATAAATGAGTAGTATAACAATTATTAGATATATATCAATATAAATTAAGTTTTAATATATTCAATTTTTAGTAATTTTCTGTTATAACAGCTATATATTGATAAATATCACAATCGATAAAACCTAACAGGAGAGATTACTATCGATATATATTAGCATAGATAATGATCAATATATATTGATCTATATTTTTTGCAGATATTAATTGGATTTTTGACATGTAATTAATTTTTAGATACTGGTATATGATTAAATAATTTATTTTAGAAATTAAATTTGCAGAGCAAATTTCTAAAAGTGAAAGTAACTGTTATAAAGTAAACTTATAATATTATACTAATAATCTTATAAAACAATACTTTATCCCTTAAACTGTCCATTTTAGCGAACAAATTTGTCCACTAAAATAATTGGATGAAGTAGAATATTAAAATTTTTTTTTTGTAAAGATCTTTATTCTAACCAGTTATTATGACTTCCAAAGACCTGAACCACACATTACACTCAATTGCTACAGTATAGCATACTCGAAATGGTTCAAACAAAGGGTATAAGTTGCACGATAGCTATAAAGTGTGCCATTTTACCCGAACTTTTGATTCATATTATCTTCCTCACATTGCCCAAAAAATTTGCTCTGTAATGTTGGTTGTGAAGAATCTTTGACCAACTTTAATATCATATTATAAAAGGTACCTTCACAAGATGATCATGATAATTGTCATGTAAAATCACGTGAAGGTATTTTTTTACTATTAAATTTGACCGTAAAGACTATATGGGAACCTCCACAGCAAAAGGTGGCAATGGGCCAAAAATTTTTATTCTGTAATTTTGTAAAAATTATATGCCTATTACTCTAATTCTTCAAGAAATTATATTTTTAAGAAAAAATTTTTTTTTGCCTATTGCCACCTTTTGCTATAGAGGTTCCCATATGATGATCAACCATATTTAGTTGATTTTTGGGGCAATGTTAAGGAATTTTTGCAAGATAAAAATTACATGATGTCTAGCATATTGTGTACTTTTATTCTAGCTTAGAGAATATGGGTGTCTTAATAAAATTTAGGGCAATTGTACAAAAATTGGTCAAAAAACATTTTAATAGACAAATTTGTCTGCTAGACGGTTTAAGGGATAATTTATAGTTTATATTTTAGATATAATTCTGTTAAATTATATTAAAATTCATATTGTATTTAGAATTGTTAGAATAATAGAATATATGCTAGTATATGCTATATACTAGTGTATACTATATACTATATATTACTATATATTATATGCCACTATATACTGTATACTACTATATGCTATATGTCACTATATGCCATATACCAGTATATGCCACCTGCCACATAGTTGTATGCCAGTATATACTACTTGTCATATAGTTGAATGCTAGTATATACCACTATATAATTATATTAATATATCTTATATTGTTGTATATCAATGTATATTAGTATAATACATATGGTTGTATGCTAGTATATACTAGTGTATCTCACATAGTTATATGCTACTATATGCCAACCTAATAGTTATTTAAAGCAAAGCTTTTTTCCTTTATCTCAAGAAGAGCATTAGATAAGTAGATAATACTATAGATATTAGATATTAGGCAATAATATAAATACTGATATATTAAATAGAAACAGATAAATAATACTCTTTGGAATATGATCTTTAAATATTTTTGGAATATTTCTTTTATTCTAATGACCTTGTAATATCTTTATTGTCTCTAAAACAATTAAATAAAACCTTCTGCTAAAACTCTTTCTTTGACTCTTCTTTATAAGTACTGCTATAACAATATATAAGAAAAAAATTTAAAATTAATATATATGAAAATTGTAAGTAGTGAATTCTATATTTAGATTGGATATCAGCTATCAAAAAAATTTTTTTAGAATATAGCAAAATAGTAATTAAAAAAAATCTCTATTAATTTGCAAATAAAAAAATATATTTAAAAGAAAGTACTATAAAAAGAATAATCTGTTAAAATTTTGAAGATAATAATTATATAATAAAGCTTTGAAATTAAATATTCTAAAATTCAAAATAAATTTAATAATAAGTTGTAAACTAAAATAATAATAGAGAGATATACAATATTCTGAAGCTATATATATATAATTTTTAACTTTAATACAGATTAAAATATATATTAAATTATATTTTTGTCAGATATACTCTATATATAGATTTTTATGATTATATAAATAGGTTTTTATCTAGTTAACAAGTTTTTTATCTGTAAACAAGTTTTTATAGTTTTTAAAATAATTTTTAGATTTTTTTATAATTTAGACATCTTTTTGTATATTTGTTTTTATTTATCTCTTTTTATTCTACCTATACTTTTTTTTTTATTTTTTTATAAAAAAGTATTATTAAATTGATGGTACTCTATTGTAGAACAATAATTTTAACAAGGTTGGTAAGAACTATCTATTGATATCTGAGCTTATATCCTTAGTAAATTAAGAATTTTAAATAGAAAAAAATATTTACTTAGACAGATTGCTTCTAAACTAAACTCTAGTGCTTAATTTTGGTTTGCTGTAATTTTGCTATAATAAAAAGTTAAGAGAATTTTTATTTGTACAGGTAAAAATAGTTAATAATTAGATAATAGGTTTAGCTAACTAAATTTTTACTATAAATTGTTATTGATTTAAAAAATAAAGGTAAAATCACTGAAATAAAAAATAATACTAAACTTTTAACTTATTTTATTTAGGGATTGAAACCACCTACAATTTTTCTTAATCGTTTAATCGTTTAACCGTTTAACCGTTTAATTTGGCCGGCATTAAAATAATTCCAGCTCACGACCAACATAATTCCGCCCGGAACTATGGACCAATTTTTAAGCGGTTAAACGGTTCCAATCCCTAACTTCATTATAAAAATTTAAACTTTTTTTTAAATATTTTATTTGGCTTTTTTTATAGTTAGATTAGAATTAAGAGTTAGTATTTATAATAAAAAAGTATAGATAGATTTTAATAAAGTTTATATTTTTAAATTAAGACTCTAAATTTTAGTATATATTATCCAATTTAGCATTATTTTCAATATAGTATAATAAAGAAAATAAATAAGTAATTTATTAAATAAGATTTTAATTTTAGAAGATTTGAGCTAATTAAGTTTGAAATTAATAATATTATAAATAGGTTTGTGGTTATAATTAAACTATAGCCAAGTTGATTTTTAATCAATTTGTTGACTAAATAAAAACTACCAATAATTGCAAAAATTCTTTATTTAAAATTTTAAAAAAATTCAAAATGTTTTAAAGCTATATTAAAAATTTTTTTAAAACTTTAAATAAATTATTTAACAGTTATTTAATTATCAATCCTATTCTTTTTGATTCAGAATTTATTTTTTTTTGATTTATAAAAAGAGATCTACTTTTTTATTAGAGTTAAATTACATAAAATAGTATCAACAAGTTGACTTTTTTATAAACTAAAAAAATGAACCCCGTGAATTAAAAAGAGGATTGCATTTAATCAAGTTTAATAAATATACAATGTTGTGCAGACAACAGGAAATTTTTTTCGTCGGAGTTAATGTTACTCCATGCGCTGCGTAGCAGCACATGAATGACTAGAGGTGCAGGCGAATTGTCCCAATGATGCTGTAATTTATAGCGAGTTACGGCAAACGTGCGGTAACTCATAGTTTCAGAGATAGTTTCGGCACGTTACGGCGAAATTACGGCAATCAATCAGTGGGACGATTCGCCTGCAACTCTGAGTGACATTAATTCCGATGAAAAAAATTTCCTGTTATTTGTCGTATGCCCAATATAATATTTGGCAAAACTGATTACGTAATTTCATGCGAAAATATCATGGCAAAAAAAATTCACATAATCATATGAAATTAAATTTTGCTAAATAGTCTTATTTGAATTATATATATATATAGAATTTAAATAAAAAAAAATTAAATTGGGTCAGATAGTTGTCAAGATCTTTATCCGACGTTTTAAGAATTTGTTAAAAAATATAAATATAAAAAGTAAAAACTTTCAATCAAATTCAATCTAACAATTGTCAAAAACAAAAAACCAATTAGAAATATGGCCAGACCAAACTGAGTCTAATGTTGCGTGCCGGCCAAAGTCTTTTTTCTGTAGGTTCAAGCATTTAAACAAATAGAACAAAATTCAGCATTGTTTACATTTACACAGTAATTTATTTTTTAATTAAATTAAATAACTTCTATATTATGATTGATCAAATAATGCAGAGCTTATGCACATGAAAAAAATACCAAGAAAGAAGTAAAAGCCCACTGATTGACCATCTTTTGTATCATGTTTGATTGCTTGTGGTAGCATTCCCTGTATGAAAAGAGAAGTCAATTAATTGATTAAAGACAACGGTTGCTATAACGACAGAAAAAATCAACACCACAAACATTGATGCAAATAACACCCATTAAACCACTGGTTGCGGCAAACAAAGCTCCATAAATGAAGTAGTGATTCCAACAATTGAAGAACGACTCGTTTAGGAATAGCCAGCCAATTAGGGCACCTAATGGTTGACTAAGACCACCCAAAATGCTAGCGTATAGAAAAGCCTTTATTCGTGAACGCGTTGCGATATATATAGGGAGAGCGATAGTGAGACCTTCCACTATATTATGTAAGGCAATAGCTGCGAATAGGGAAATACCAAGGGAACGAGATGCTTTAGAAGAAACGAAAGTTATAAGACCCTCTACAAAATACCAACATAAATTAGATTGTCATGATTGCAATAATAATCAAGGTTATGGTTATTGGTCAAATAGTCATTGATCAGACAGGCCAGATAAGTTAGTAAATAGACTGATTTGTTTTCTAGCCACACAAAAATTTAATATTTAATAATTGTAAATATAACTATATGAGGAATGGACTAGAAAACCCCTTCAACAGATAATGTCGAAGGGGTTTTTCCTAGTCCATTTCCCATATACAATTTTACCAGACCGGGCATCAGTCAAATTGGACAAGATTTTATTAGACTATTGACCCAACCATGAATGATAATCCAAATACCTGGAAATTTATGAATAGAGATAGCTATAGCAGTTTGAATGCCTATTTGCATTAACTTTGCATTTTCATGATCTTGACTTTGGCAATGTTGTTGTCAGCCTTACCAACCTTGGGACTTAATGCAACATGAAGAGTTTGGACTTAA